CAGGGGGGGCAGCTCTCAAAATGCAGCCAGTGTTTCACATCAAAAGAACTATATTCGTAAGCCCTGGCGCTGTTGCTAGCCATGGCTGTTTTTGCAAGTTCCTGGACAAAGTCGCGGCAGGCGCGCGGGGTTGTGCTTGGAAAGTTGAACGCTCCAACTGGCCTGCTGTAAAGGCGGCAGAGCGCCCGGGGTTGTTGTTCGTCTTGGTCACTCCAGGGGAAATGGCCGGTTTTGCGGGCCACAAGAACACGTTCACATTGGATGCGTTTCTGAAGCGAGTCGTCATCGTTGACTCTGCCGCCTCTGTGAATGGATTCAACGTGGTAGCCACCACAGCGAAAAACATCGTCAGCATCATCGTCATCATCTTTGTCATCAGAACCATCTTAACATCAAGCCATTATGATCACCACCAATGCAACACACGTCCTTGTCATTGCTATCGCCATCACCTCCACAGTGCATTTCTCATCAGCATCACCATCGCAATCACCACAATTACCCATGCGCATCATCATCACCACCGTAATCACCACATACACACACACCATCACCAGCGCCATTGAATCCCACCAGCCCTTTGGGCGTAGGTGGTTTAGAGCGTTTCTTCTTCCAGCCCCCTTCTTCCCCTTTGGGGAGGGGTTTACCCCTCCCCCTAACCCCCTCCCCTGGACCTGGATGGGGGGGTTGGCGAGGGGTTGGAGCGTCCAAGATTGCCCAATGCGGGCACCTGGGAGGCTTACTTTTTGACGCCCCTCACAAGGGCCGTGGCCCCCGAGGCGTTCTGGAGGGGCAACGCTAATTAAGTGCCCCCCTTCTTTGATCGATCTCCTCCAAGATGGCCCCAAGAGGCGCCCAGGAAGCCCCGAGGCCCCAAGATGGCCCCAAGAGGCCTCCAAGAGGACCCCAAGAGGGCCCCAAGCGGCCCCAAGAGGCTCCCCCGAGGCACTCAAGACGCCCAAGAGCCTCCCAAGACGGCCAAGAGACCCCCCAGACGCCCCAAGGGCCGCTCAGACGGCCCCAAGAGCCGTCCAAGAGGCTCCCAAGAGACCCCCCAGATACCCCCAAGAGGCCTCAAGAGCACCCCCGAGGCATCCAAGAAACCCCCCAGGACGCCCCAAGAGGCCTCCAATAAAACAATTCACTATTGTTGCCCGCGCTGCTTGACTATAATATACGTCTGTTCCTCCCTCCCCCCAGTCAGCTCTCATGGGCATCATTTCCGGATGGGCTGGAGGGGATACGCAAAGCGTCAACAATTTGTAGCGAGCCCCGCCCTCCCCTCCAGCCCCCCGCCCTCCCTTGCAAGATTAAGTGCCGAGCGCTACTATTAAGATACGTGTGTCCACGTGTATATCAGACTGGCGGTTCCGAGCCCCGCGCAACATAGATAATTAAGTTTAGTGATGACAGGGATAACTCGAACAAGGTATTGTGCTTATCTGGTGATTGGAATTCACACACCGCATCGAAATTTCAAACAGGGGCACAAGGCACGACCGCCACTCACCCCCCAGACCCCACGTGAGCTCGTGTGCGTTCCACCATTTCTGACAGCTAACTGAATAATCAGCATATGCTGGGAACAGCAATGCCAATGGAACCCGGGGGGCCCACAACTACTTTAAGTTGTGCCTCCCATAAGCCACGCCACTGCATCGAAACCCAGAGGCCCCGAAATAGACAGGCACACGCAGTGTTTGTGAAATTCCAAAAGGGAAAAATTCCATTGTAATTGGGCAAGATAAAGCGTTCGTGGCGGAAGGGGGCAGCGGGCGGGCCCTCCGCCGGGGCCGCTGGGGCGCTGGGGACGCGGGGGGCCTCGGGGCAGAGAGCCAAGGCGCGGGGGCCCCACTCTGCGATGGGGGCGCGGGGCGGGGGAGGGGGGGGGGATGTGCGACGAGAAATGCGTTCGTGGGCGAGGGGGCGGCGGGCGGGGCCCCCGCTGGGGCGCCGGGGCGGGGGGGTTCGGGGCAAAGAGCCGCGGCACAGGGGGCCCGCTCTGGCGCTGGGAGCGCGGGGGGAGGAAGGGGGGGGGGGGGCGACGCGGAATAAAGTGGTCGGAGCTGTAGGCGCCCTGTGCAAGAGGAAAATCTCTGCAGATCAGACTGTTCACTGCACGCGACGGGCGTTGCGTTGGAACCTGGCGTCAGGTTGCATTGCGAGCTCGGGATGGCCCCTCAAGACGGCGGTGCACAGAGGATGGTTTGGCTCATTAAAGGTGATGCTGGCACCAAGTGGTGCATGCTGTGCAGCAGTGGACAGCTCGCTGGTCGACCAAGAGGGGTGACCCTGCCGTGGGCAGACGCCACGCGTGAGCATCGATTTTGCGACGAATGGGGACGTCAGGGGGAGCGCGCGGAGGTTGGCTCGGTTCCACGCGACGGACACCGACGCAGATTTCAAGACCTGCAGGGAACCTGCAAATCCGAAGGAGGAAGATGAGACGACGGCAGTCGTCTCATCTACCACCTTCCCCCTTCATTATCTCCCCATGGGAAGATACTGAAGGGGGAAGGAAGAGGAATTGGGAAGGTGAGGCGGTGACTGAGCAGCGCGCTGCCCATTCGCCCCCCCCCCCCCCCAGGATCCGCGAGCAAGCATTTGGTGTCATCCACAGCGCGCAGAACATCTGCAAGACCCGCAGCTGGATCGAATTAGCTTGCCCGGTGACCAATCTTGCCACGATTGGACGCGCGCGTTCTTTATTCGGGGCGCTGTTAACATTTGTACACGCCTCTTTCTTGTGGCTTGTAAGAGCAATTGACTCTTAAACGTAAGCTCCTGTTTCGAAGACGTTGGGCTGCGGTCTTTGCCCCGCGCGCGCGGCGGCGCTGATAACTTGGCCAAGCTGTTCCAGGAGGGCCGCGAGACGGCCAGCGTCAAGGCGAAAGCGTACAAGTGCCAGGCGAGTCAGGCACTGTCTTTGTCGCCGCTGATGTATACTAATGTGATGAAAGGTTATATGTCCCATGGGGGTCGCACGCATGGGGCGCGTCGCGTCTGCTCGTTTGTGCGATTTGGCGCGGCGCATCGAAGCTGCATCATCCGGCCGCGCGTCTGCCGACACTCTCAGGGACAGGACGAACGCGTTTCTAGATGCCTGTGAATCAGCCCAATGGCAGGAATACGTGACACCGAAGTTTCATTGATTGATCCATTTCCGGAGGCATCTGCTAAGTGTTGATACGGTCTTTCGAGATTTGTACACGAGAGAAAGCGCAGGGTTCCGAAACTGGTTTGCAATGACATGCGCCAGCTGGAAGCGTCAGAAAGGAGCGCGCTGTCCGAGGCCACATGCTTGCATTTAGCAGACTTGCGCAGCGCCGACGCGTTCGATTTCTCGCCGCACTTGCTGAACCCCAGGGCGGCGCCTCAGAAGATGCACGCCTTCCTTGAGGATGTCGGACATCGTCTCCCGCAGGGCTCCGCGACCTCGGCTCTGAGGGCTCGCGTGTCGTCGCCGTCGACCTGCCAGTCCCGTGACATCGCGGTGTTTTCTACTGGCAATGACCAGGCGGTGGGGGACGTATAGTTTCACGCTGCAGTCAATTGAACGATGGTGACGCTTGTATCTGTCTGGGACACCACTCGTTGCGATGATGGGCTCGGCGCGCTGACCGCGGTGCCAGCCGACGACGACGCGCAACTGGTGCACTCGACCGACATCGCCACCGCCATGGCGGGAGCGTTTGCAAAGTTTCGAAACCACGACCACCCTTACAATACGGGCGTGTCAGATGCAAGCAAACGTCAGCACTTGCACACGTGCGACCGTGAAAATGCTTGGTGGATATGTGCGATGCGTGGACCGTCCGTTGTGGCTTCGTTAAGGATTCGAAACTTTGCAAGGCATGCAGACGAAGTGGAGGCGGATCAGTTTCGATAGTGCCTCCTATGTTCAAGTGGTCATCCATCGTGTGAGCTGCCGACTTGCTTCTTGTGCGTAACCACGCATGAGACTGTGCATTCGCAATGTGTGGATGCGGCTCGCTGCGCGCCTCGCGCAATGAAACAAAAAATGCAGTTGCAAACGCATCGGCGGCACACCAACATGCATGCGCTTGCAACTTAGTAAGTCGCATCAACTTAGCGGAAGTTGTAAGTTTCAGCAGATGACTTGCTAAGTCCGCTAATTGTTGCACCCCCCCCCCCAAGTTCACTACAGTATGGGGGGGGGAACTGTCTCACACGCCTAGAGACCCACAAGGGGTCGGCGGATGTTCGTGATTTCGGGCTTTGCGCCTCTAGGAGCCCTCCCAGAGCCTCCTGTGACACGTTTGGGGCCTCTCTGGCTACTTTGGCGTATCGCCGAGGCCTGTCGAGCCGTCTTGAAGTCTTTTTCGGTCCCATCTTGGGCCGGCTGGCCGCCGTTTTGGATCCCCCTTGAGCTGTTTCGGGCGCGCCCTGGGGGGCCCTGGAGGACCGCCTCAGGCCCGAAATCTTCCTCGAAAACTAGCTCCCGTAGCTCATTGACCTCTCCGTGTCCCTCTTCGGTTTCGTCCGCCATGTTCGACACTTGTGGGTGCCCTTCGGGGCCGTTTTTGGCGTTTTGTACGGGCCCTCTCGGCCCGTCTTGGGCCCGCACCTCTCGCCCTTGTGGGACCATTGACCATTTCAATTGCGTTCCTCTTCCTCCACCAAGGTTCCCGACGTCTCCACGTGTTCGAAAACGTGGAACGTCGGTGTCTGCTCCTTCAAGGGCGTTTGATGGAACAAACTGTTGTAGGGACCCAGGAAGGGGGAACTTGGAGGGAGGATTTAGGTTGATGCGTCTTGGGTTTGCAGCGGTCCTTTTCCTTCTCATCATCATGAGATTCCCTCCTCCTCCTCCTCCTCCTCATCCTTCCTCCTCCTCCTCCGCCTCCTCCTCCTTATCCTCCTTTCCAGGCGCTGCTTGCCAGTCAAAGGCACCCTCAGGCTCCTGATCTCCTGATCTCCTCTTCGCCTCGTTCACGCCCTCCTTTTTCCTGTGCCTTCTCCCCTCCGCCGCCGCGCAG